CAATTGCTTTAGTGGAATAGCTCAGCTTTATTGTATAATCTATAATAATAATAATAATAATAATAATAATAATAATAATAATAATAATAATAATAATTTATTAACCTTTTGAGTATTCAGATTTAGAATTTCTTAAGCTCATCGAGAAGAACCCGTTATAGTCTAGGTGTCTTTGATAGCCAGAAAATCCCATATTTAGAGTTCAGTTCCCAAACAATTGACCTAAGCTAAATTCGTCTACTCCACCATTCCATTTACGAAGATTAGTATCATCACTGAATATCTTCAACAGAAGTATAGTGTAGGTAATTTTGAAATGTCATACACAAGAGATGCCCCAAGTTGTCTGCTCCTATTCATACCCGAATGTCAAGCCTTTTGATCATTTCCTCATGAGAGGAGAATGCTATAGTGGTCCCTGCAAAAGAAGGGTATGTGGTCGAATGTATCATCTGTGGTAAGGACAAGGGTCATTGTTTTATTAGTTTTCAATCATGTCATTTTGTCAAAGATCTATAACTCTGATTCTTAAAAGAGCTCTTAATCCAGTGGATACTTACAAAATTTCAAGTTTAAAAATTACTCATTGCTCATAACCTCAGAAGGTAGCATTTTATTTAAAATGTTTGATTTTCAAGTGACTTACAAACTTTTTAACGAAAAGAGAAAGAAAAGAAATTCAAACAAGACAATAGGCGAGTGCATCAAAAGTTCCTATTGACAATAATGATTTTCTCAGTTTGCATCAGAATGTCCCATCACCCATCAAATGTCCATGCCCCTAAATCAATTAAATATTGAACCTTGCGCTTCAATGCCCCACAATTCTTAGTAGTACGCCCCATGCTTCCCATGTGGTAACTATATACTGCATTAGCATCATGCCCTTTAAGAAATGGGGGTTCTTTTGGTTTAGACTAGACTGGAGGCACGAAATTGTTCTCAACTAGTAATGGGAGCAATTCTTCATATGTCACTAGAATTTCACCAATAGGAGTCTTCTCTTGGGTCATTCTATAAGGTTTGGTCCCATGATTAGCTGAATAAGACCTCACTGTATTGACCTCGGCTCCTTTCTCGATGTCAGTACTGTCGGAGCCTCTTATCCTACCATTCTTAGTGGCAGCCCCTATCATGTGATTAATATAGGGAGATTTTAATGTACTGATGAACAAAGTAATGAACTTCCTTTCAGTCACTGGTAGATTCACTTGAGAAGCAACGTCCTTCCATCGTTGCGGATATTATCGAAAGCTTTCGTTGTACTTCATATTCATATTTTGTAACATTGTTCGATCAGGGGCCATATCTGTCATGTGCTTGTATTGAACCAAAAAGGTTTGAGGTAAGTCTTTCCAAGAATGGATTTGTGTATGTTTTAGTTGGTTATACCATTTGGAAGCAGGTCTATATAAATTGTCTTGAAAACAGTATATCAACAACTTCTCATTCTCCATATAGCCAGCCATTCGACGACAATACATGGTGATATGATATGAAGGGCATGTTATACTTATCAAAATCTGGAACCTTGAAATTTGGTGGGAGAACCAGGTCGGGGACCAAACTTAGCTCTTTGGCGTCAAGCCCATAAAATGACTCAACCATCTCCCTATATTTTATCACCTTTTTTTATATTTTTTAGTCGTTGGGTGAATTTTTCCTTCTCAACTAATTCATTAGGGTTAGAGACCTCATTATCAGTACCTAATTTACTTGGTTTCAACCTAGAAGCAGTAGGACAGTCAGTGGGGAATGAAGCTCCAGCCTAATATTGTTGGTTCTTATCAGTGAAGTGAATTGGTAGTTGGATTTCTTGATGCACGGAGGTGTGCCCAGGAATGTGAACATGTGTAACACCCGGAGGATATGTGGGGTTTTCAACAAGACTCTTTCCAGTGGTCAAATGCCTCCTAAACATTTCTTCCATCTTGTTCAGTAGATCGAGCTAAGAGTTTGCGATATCCGCCTTAATTTGTGCCAACTTGCTCCTCGCTTCTCCTCGCATCTCTTTCTGCTCTCTCTTAATTTTGGCTAGCATATCCTCTGTTTCTTTAGGCATTTTTCTTGTGTCATGCGAATGCTAAGCATTCTTACTACTAGTAAGAATCAAGATCACTGCGATCAGAAACCTTATCTTATTATTATTATTTTAATGAATGAATATTTTAATGCATGATTTGGAAAATTATTAAGCAATACAAGTGTAATGCAAGATGAATGTATGCAAAGACATTGATCCAATAAAAAAAAATTGTCGTTTTGAGTACCTTCTAATACCAACAATTATTTCGAGGATTAATATCTTTGATGATATGACATGTATAAAAATATGTTAATTCCAAAGTAATTATCCTATAACAACTTTCAAAGAACATACAACGTCCCAATATGTTAAAGCAGATAAAAATATCTACCCCTTCGTGTGGCGTTGTTGTTTTAAGAGCCTTCTAATTTTGATAAATAAATTGGGTATTAACAACCTTTATGAACAAAATAAAGCAACATGATAAGGAAAAGATGTTAGCAAAAATAATAATCAAAGAAAGGAAATGTATGTTAGTGAAATAATAAAAAATTAAATTCAACTAGTATATGAACCATAAAATACAGTGAATAAACACACAGAGGAAAATAAAACCCTAACCGTATAATTTCTAGTTCTCTTAAGTTATATGCATGACTCTAGAGAGGTAGGCTTGCTACATTCTCAATATGAGGTTTGGTTTTAGAAGTAAAGGTACTTAAATTGTCCTTGTCGGTGCTCCCTTGGGTGAGTCAGACCCTCAATCTTCACCTATTATAGGCTTAAGCAGATCGAGTTCAATTCAAGAGGGCACATTTCCTTATGTCTAACACGGAGAATAAATTCTCACGAAGACATAAGGTATATGAACCCCGGAAGCTACTTGCTAGTTATAACACGGAGAACAAATTCTCACGAAAATGTCTCTTTCACTCTCATCTAAAAGGGAAAAGAGCTCGAGTATAGAGCTTATATTTATGCAATGCATAGTTGTGTGTGATGAGAAATTCACAATCCTTCGACAAACCACCACACAAAAAAAATTGAACTAAAGCGAATCCAAAATGTTAATATCTGAAAAGTAATCAAATACAAACTTTAATATACAATGATATAGTATAAAAAATTGAAAGAAATCAAAAGAATCGTAAATTAAATAAAATTGAATTCTCAATTTCTAACTATAAAGACAATATATAATCGCTTTACGGCTTGACCAGCTTAGTCCCCAACGGAGTCGCCAAGCTGTCGTAATCGATTTTCGCTCGGTACGATGTTTCTTGGTGAAAAGGTAAATAAATGGTTTTCAATGAAATGTTTTGGAGTCACCATCGACCTTTTGGATTAGGTAGGTCGAATACCTAAAAATTATCTTTTAAAAGATTTTTTTAAGAAAACATCATTTTAAAAGATAAATCAGTCTACGTGTAACCAGAAATTCATTCTTTTTAATAATAAAAAGGGATTCAGGGTCGATTACGCATGGGGAAGGATTAACACCCCCACAACGCCCAAAATTGGTACCCCGTTGATTATAAATTGTCTCTAGCAGTGGAAATATAAGAATTCAAATATAAATTTAATTTACGATCTTATTATTCCAAATTCAATCGCATAATTTTATGTAACGGGAAATTCTAAGGAGAAATAGAAAATATTCTAATATTTCCAATCGAAGAGAAAAATAATCCCTAAAATACTTTAGGACGAATATTTCTCTTTCCAACTGAAATAAAAAGAATATAATATTTTCCCCAAGAACTCAATATTAATAATTTGATATAACCAAAATGAATATAACTAGAGTAGGCATATTCTATATTTTTTAGGTTTTTATAAGTAGGGTATTTATTTATTTTAAATATCATAATAGGACATCTAGTTACTTTAAGAATGTCATTTCTTAATATTTAAAAATAAATAAATGTCCTTTAATCAAATTATGAAATCGGTCAAGTTATACTTATAAGTCTTTCATATATATATATATATATATATATATTCATGTGACTAAAATGAAATGAATAAAAAATAAAGAGTAATAATTAAAGGACTATATTTAAAGTATTGAAACATAAAGGACAATAATAAAATAAAAAATTCAAAATTGCAATTAAACAGTGACCAAAATAAAAAATTGAAACTATAGCATCATATTCATAAATAAAATAATAACAAAATTAACTAATGACTAAAATGAAATAAAATATAAATTAGCATGCAAAAATTGAAATAAAATAAAGAAAGAATATCAGTAACCAAAATAAAAAATACGCCTAAACTAGGAGGGCTTATGCATGATTAACCCACTAATTAGTGACTTAAATGAAAAAGCACGCTTAAAGTACAGGGACTTTAGCGTGATTTACCCCAAAAAGTAAACTAAACTCTTTAGCGACCAAAACGCAAAACACATCAAATATACAGGGACTTATACGCAATTTAATCTTAAGAACAGTGATTGAAGTGTAAAATATTGCTAAAACTGGAGTGACTTAAAGGTAAATAACCCAAAACCTAAACTATATATATATATTTCCCCTATTTGGCTAACCTAGCAACTTTTTTATTTTCTCCTCTCAACACAGAGAAAAAAGCCTCTCCCTTCTTCTTCTTTCATACACGGCCAAGAGCCATAAAAACCCAATACCTCGCCGTCGGCCATCGTAAATCGGTGGCCAAACACTCTTCCGATCACTCCAAACAAAACCCGAACCGAAAATTTCCCTTAAAAAAATTAAATCCAGATTTGGGATTATCTACCAAACCCGGGATTAAAACTCAAGCTTTTTTCTTTCGAAGCTTCAATCAACACTTCTCCGACGACCTAGACTACGAAGAACCCTTGGCGCCGGTATAACCCACTCTTCTTTACTTTTTTTTATTAACCTACTGTTTTTTTATTTTGAAAAAAAGAAAAATATAAAATATAAAATATAAAATACAAAGCTGAAAAAATAAAACCAAATGTAAAAATAGCATTTTTTATATTTTTTCTTTATGATTTTCTTTGTATTGCTGCTAGTTTTTTTCCCAAAGTATACTGTTCTCGAGTTTTATAAGCCCAGTTTACAAGTAAAAAAATAAATTTTACATTATATTTTGTTTTGTGATGATGAGTTGATTCTGGACGTGGGGCATTAGTGGCCAAGGGTGAAGCTGACGGCGACGTGGAACACGTGAGACCACGGGCGTGGCGGCTATGCTATAACGAGGAGGAACAACTATTGTTGGTAGAGCTGCAACGTGGAGGACAACTGGTGTTCCTCTAGAATTTGCTGGAACAGTCGGCTGGAGCTGCAATGTTGAGGGACAATTGGTGTTCCTCTAGAAGCTACTGGAATCGTCGGTTGGAGTTGCAACGTGGAGGGACAGCTGGTAAGGTAAAAATGGTGATTAAATCAGCGTCTCCTAGAGTTTCGAGAAAGAGTTCAATTCTAACAGGGTTTTCTTCTTAATTCAATCTAGGATTTTTGAATCTCTACATATAGACCAAACAGATTATGTGCGTTTCGTTATTGCCTCAATCGCGTATACTTTGCTTGCTTATCTCTATTGTAACGTCTCGACACACATGGAAGATATTATCACAAATCAGATGGAGGAACTCTCATTTACTGCTCTTGATGTAGGAGCCTTTGTTCCTGAAGAAGCTCCGGAGGTAGAAAGTACTGTAGCTTTGGAAAACTGTTCGATTGGGACGGTGATAACCCAAAAATGTGTTGATGGAGGTACGTTAAGCAGGGTTTTTAGGCCTGTCTAGGGCACGAGGGATCCAAGAATAACGTGAACGTTTCTTCAGAATTAAGTTCACTAATACTGAGGCCATGGATCTAGTTATCAAACGCAGTTCATGGAGTTTTGAAGGGGATTTCTTCTTCTTGGCTCCATATGCTGCAGATAAGGGACTTGATGAGTATTCGTTTGAAATCATGGCTGTCTGGGTGAGGATTTATAACCTGCCGTTGGGTGCAATGACAAAGCAATTGAGACTCGATTTGGGATCGTGTATTGGCAAGGTGTTAGCAGTGGACATGCGCCTTCAAGGTGGCAATCTCGTGGACTTTCTGAGAGTGAGAGTTGAAATAGACATCATCACGCCCTTACGACGTTATGTTCTTTTGGGTAATCGAAAGGGAGGTAAACCAAGAATGTGTCCAGTGAAATATGAAAGGCTTTTGAACTGCTGCTTTGAATGTGGTATTCTTGGGCATGCCACGGTCAGTTGTACTGTCCAAGTGGAGCAGAAAGTTAAACCTCCTTACGATGATTGGCTTAAGGTTCCTATGCAGCAACCACGGGTAAAATCTCAGTTGCATCGTTCTATTAAATATGCAAGGATCCCAAGGTGCTTCGGATAAGGGTAATGATCTCGATCCAATTGAGGATATGACGGGGTTGATGGACACGGATACCCCAGCTGGTTCTACCCAAGTTATTGATGAAGGAAGCCATACTTCGACTGAACTCAAAACGGCCTCACTTGGTGATGATATGGTCGATGTTGTAGAGGAGGAAGAACGTCCTATGATGATACGGGCAAGGGTCTCCAGGAGGGTTGGATGATGCTAATCCTATGGAACCTATTTTGAATGGCGGTAATGCTAGGGAAGATGGGGTTAGTGAGACTGCTAATGTCGCGTTGCGGGCTTCGAAGGGTTTACCAGCTGTTGTTCCTAAAGCCAAAAAGGACTTTGTGAGTACGATGCAAGCTAATTCCAAGCCGGTTATTGGTAACAAGGATGACTCAGTTGGTAAGTCTTCCAAACGGCAGCTACAAGGGAAATACAAGGTTACTAATCCTATTACATCCAGACATTCCAAAGGTCCTCTACTTTTGATGGTGGGGTTGGGGCACGTGACAAGATGAAAAAGATAGGGGTTGGGGCACGTGACAAGATGAAAAAGATATCAGCGGAGTCTGCGAGAAAATCTCGTCGGACGCCATAAAAATGTTATGTTGGAATTTACGTGGTTTATCTAATGTCGCGATAGTCTCTTCGGCGATTTATTGCCCATCGTTCTATTTCAGTTATTTTTTAAGTGAAACTATTTTAAGAAAAAATAAGAGTGAATATGTTCGTAGTCAATTAGGAATGCAGGGTTGTTTTACATTGGATTGTGATTCTCAATGTACTGACCTTATGTTACTTTGGATTAATAATATCAATGTTGAATTTTTGTCTTACTCGCCGAATTATATTGATATAACTGTTAAATATGATAATACTCGTTATCACTTTACTGTTATTTATGGTCATTACAACGCTAACCGGAAAATGGGCTCTACTTGATCGTTTGAGTAGATCTTCTCCGCTACCTTGGGTAATCGGTAGTGACTTCAATGAAGTTCTTACTGATGCTGAAAATGTGGAGGAAGACAAAAATATCGTTTCCATCTTGAAGAATTTCGAGATGCACTTGACGGAAATGGTTTCATGGATTGTCACCCATCCTTTGGGTGGTTTACTTGGTTCTATGGCAATCGCACACCCCAACTATTGCTAAGAGGTTGGATCGCTTTGTGGCTACAAAGGAATAGCTCCAAACTTACAACCAATATAAGGTTAGTTCCGAATTTACGGAATGTTCGGATTATTGTTATATTGTTTTGGATACAAATTGGATTACACATGCTAATTGTTAGGCAAAAGAAGCATAATGTGTCTCACGTGTTGACACAGCATGAACTTTCACTCATGGCAGTGTGCTAGATAAAATTGACTCTGCAGTCTTTGGATGCCAAGAGCGAGCTTTAGCATTTTCTTGATAAGGAAGAGAAGTATTGGGCTTAATGGTAGAGGGTGCAATGGCTGACCCAAGGGAATCGTAATAGGGGTTTCTTCCACGCTCGGTAGTCAACGTCGGAAAAAGAACAAACTTAAAGGGTTGTTCAATAATAATGGGATATGGTCTGAAGATCAAAAAGACATCGAGGACACGATTGTGAGTTATTTTTGTGAACTTTATACATCTTCCAATACTGACAATACGACTAGTATCCTAGAGGCTGTTGGTAATGCTCAATCCCACATAGTATTGGAAACACTATTGGGAATAGTATTTAAGGCTTGGCTTTCCCACTTCCTTGTTGAGTGATAGAGAACAAGGGGGACTCTCGCGCACCGCCGCTGCCGTCCGTCCGTCTCATCTCGGCACGGCACGGCACGGCTCGGGTCGTGGTCGTGGTCGTGGTTTTGCAGTTCATATATCCAACAATTTAGAAACGAATTAATGTACTGCAATCATGACAACACCTTTGAGCAAACTAATCCCCGATCTTTCCAAGCTCGATGCACTTGATGGAAAGAATTATAGAAGGTGGTCCCAAAGAATCCTGATATTCTTCGAGCAGCTTGATCTTGACTACGTGCTGCTCAAGCCACCACCTACCATGCCGCCAACCCCAGCTGCCGGTAATGATACAGATGTGGTCCTCAATGATGATGCCTTAGCAACCGCCGCCGCCGCTCTGGCTACCTACGAGAAATACGAGAAAGACAACAAGACGGTGCGAGGACATCTGCTCAGCCACATGTCAAATAAACTATTTGATATGTTCCTTAGAGAAAGGAGTGCCAAGGCAGTATGGGACACTCTCGACAAAAAGTATGGTTCGGACGATGCGGGCATCAAGAAGTACGTTGTTGGCGAATGGCTCAAATTCCAGATGACAGACAACAAGCCAATAATGGATCAAGTCCATGACTATGAGAACTTAGTCGCTGACATCATCGTTGAAGGGATGCAAATGTGTGAGGTGCTGCAAGCCAATGTACTCATTGAGAAGCTGCCCAAGTCATGGTCCGACTATCGCAACTCTCTTAAGCATAAGAAGAGAGACATTTCGCTTGAAGAACTTGTGGGCCATATGAAGATTGAAGAAGCCAACCGTTTAAAAGATAAGCTTACTAATTCTATGAGTAATTTATCTTTTAAAGCTAATTGGGTTGAGTCTAAATTTAAGAAGATCATGAAACGTGGGAATCAAGACAAGAAGACGAAACCACAGAAGGCTACTAACTTCAAGAAGTCAAGAAAGGCCAAACCGGAAGGAAAGACGTTCAAGTGTTATGTATGCGGTTTACCCGGCCACAAAGGTTACCAATGCCAACACCGATCAGACCGCCAGAATGACAACAAGCCACAAATGCACGTTGTAGAAGAAGATGGTGAGATCATTGCTGCGGTGGTCTCAGAAGTTAATCTGGTGGAGAACAGATTAGGACATGTGAATATTCATTCTTTAAAGAAATTAATGAATATGAATGTTTTGCCTAAACCAGTCACAACTAGCTTTAACAAATGTGAGATTTGTGTAGAAGCTAAGCATACTAGACTTCACTTTAAGACTGTTTCTAATAGAAAGACTGAACTGTTAGAACTCATTCATACTGATCTAGCATATTTTAGAAACACTGAAAGTAAAGGAGGAAAACACTACTACATAACTTTTGTAGATGATTATTCAAGATATACAAAAGTTTATCTCCTAAGAACTAAAGATGAAGCTGAAAACTTCTTTCTTATTTATAAGGCATAAGTAGAAAATCAGTTAGATAGGAGAATCAAGCGGGTTAGATCTGATAGAGGTGGTGAATATGGATCTAATTTCTGAAAAGATATTTGTGAAAAGAATGGCATAATTCATGAAACTTCAGCCCCCTATTTTCCTCAACAGAATGGTATAGCCGAAAGGAAAAATAGAACTTTAAAAGAGATGATGAATTCTTTACTAATAAGTTCAGGGTTATCTGATAACATGTGGGGGAAGCCATTCTATCGGCAACTCATATCTTGAACCGAGTTCCTCATAAGAAATTAGATTCTACCCCATATGAATTGTGGAAAGGATACGCTCCTAATTTACAATACCTGAAAGTGTGGGGGTGTCTGGGCAAAGTGGGTTTGCTAGACTTTAAGAAGTCCACCATCGGACCTAAAACTGTTAATGCAGTGTTTATAGGGTATGCTACGAATAGTGCTGCATACATATTCATGCTTTTACAAGATTATTCTATTTGTGAGTCAAGGGATGTTTGTTTTCTTTGAAAATACTTTTCCTTTAAAGGAACCGAGAATGAATATTGAAACACAAATAGAATATATTCCATCCACTTCTTCTAGTAATCCTGCTAGGTCTTCTGAACAAATTGACTTCGAGCCTAGAAGAAGTAAAAGGCAAAGAGTTGAAACCTCTTTTGGACCAGACTTTATTACTTCCTTTATTTCTGAGATAAATGATTTAGACTCCATTTCAGATCCTATAGCTCAAATTTTTCTGTTAGATGAGGATCCTAAAACTTTTTGAAGAAGCTATAAGATCTATCGATGCTAGTTTTTGGAAAAGCGCTGTTAATGATGAACTAGAATCGATAATGTCTAATCATACTTGGGAATTAGTTGACTTGCCTAAGGGATTCAAACCAATCTCCAACAAATGGGTCTTCCGGAAGAAACTAAGGCCATATGGTTCAATTCAGTGGTACAAGGCAAGGTTAGTCGTCAAAGGGTTCACTCAAAGGTTTGGTTTAGACTACTTTGATACATATTCTCCCATTACAAAAATCTCAATGATTCGTGCATTATTTGCACTAGCCTCTATTCATAAGTTGCAGGTACATCAAATGGATGTTAAGACTGCTTTCTTGAATGGAGATCTAGATGAGGAGATTTACATAGAGCAGCCACTAGGTTTTGAAGCACCTGGTATGGAAGGCAAAGTCTGTAGACTCAAAAAGTCACTCTATGGACTTAAGCAGGCTCATAAACAGTGGTATGAGAAATTTCATAAAACTATTCTTAGTTTTGGTTTTGTTGTGAATGGTTCGGATGCTTGTGTGTATTCGAAGATGTTTGACACTGAATGTGTTATCATAAGTCTTTATGTTGATGACATGTTGATTTTTAGTTCTAACATTGAGTCCATTAACAAAGTTAAAAATTTCTTGTCCACTAAGTTTGAGATGACAGATTTGGGAGAAGTAGATGTAATCTTAGGAGTCAAAGTTACCAAAACTGATAAGGGATTTTCTTTATGTCAAGCACATTATATAGAGAAAGTGTTAAAGAAATTTGACAGTTTTGATGTCGTCCCTGTTCGAACTCCTTATGACCCTAGCATACATCTAGTTAAGAATAAGGGAAGTAGCGTTTCCCAAACTGAATATGCTAAGTTAATCGGAAGCTTAATGTTCTTAATGAACTATACTTGGCCTGATATTGCTTATGTTGTGAGTAGATTGAGTAGATATACTCATAATCTGAGTGGTGAGCACTGGATTTCTCTTAAACGCTTACTAAAGTATATTAAGGGTACTTTGGATTGGAAACTTGAGTTTGTTGGCTTTCTTGCGGTACTGGAAGGATATTGTGATGCCAACTGAGTTTCTGATAATGATGAGGTAAGCTCTATGAGCGGGTATGTTTTTACTTTGGGTGGAGCAACAATCTCATGGAAATCATCAAAGCAGACTTGTATTGCTCGTTCTACTATGGAGTCAAAGTTTATAGCTCTTGACCTAGCTGGGCAAGAAGCCGAGTGGCTCAGAAGTTTGTTAGCATATATTCCGTTGTGGGGAAGACCGACTCCTCCAGTTTCATTATTGTGTGATTCACAAGCTGCGATATGTGTGGCTAAGAACCAAGCTTACAATGGTAAGAAAAGACACATTCGTATAAGACATGAGTCAGTGAGACACTTAATAAAGAATGGAGTGCTCTCTTTAGTGTATGTGAAGACGGAAAGGAACCTAGCAGATCCACTTACCAAAGGGTTAAGTTGGAAGCTGGTCCTAGATTCGTCAAGGGGGATGGGTCTAAAGCCCATTGGTTGAGGAATTCATGGTGGATACCCAACTTAGTTATCTAAGTTCCATGTGGTCAAACGAAACCATGGAAAGACTCATAGTGCACATTCCTATTGCATATCCCTATGACGAATAATGTGCATGCCCAGGATGAGCTTAAGTGCTCTTAATAAATTCATAGCCCAGGCTTTGGGTGGTCTTAGTGAGAAAGACTTGATGAATTTACCGATTTTGGCTGAATATCTATTCTTAATAAGTTCATAACCCAGAGTGAGTGGGTAGGAAATGATGA